TCCTGCTGAGGTATGGGTTCAGTACTCTATTTTTAAATGAACAAGTGATATTCAATAATTGAAATGTTGCCAGAATTAAAGAAAATACAGAAACATAATTTAAAAAACCAAAAAATTAAATACTGATATATTTGCTAGTGCAATTTGAATAACAGACAAATGTAGGCAGCAGTGTTCCTTCCTTCGAATTTGCTTTCCCCAATACCTGCCATCCCTGTTATGTTTTCATTCACTGAGCTTTAGGTTGGAAGAACCCCTCCTTCTGAGTGTTCTATTAGTGACCCCAGAAGCAATTACTAGACATTAGGACTGTCTTCCAAAAGGTGGATGAGATCCATACGGTGTTTTACTCAAATTTGTGTGGTACATTTAGCAGTGAAGTGTGACTTTGAAGTTTGCTTTAAAAGAGAAGGAGGATGCAAGGGAAAGCTTCATAGATCTTTCTTAGGTTCAAAAGGCAGAATTAAGTTTAATAATTTAAAATGCATTTCTTATCTGGGTTTTTAAATTATTTACAGAGTTAAATCGACTTGTCCATCTACAAAGTGCTAAAAATGTGTCTTTCATACTTTTACTCACTGAAGTTGCATACTTAACCAGTGAGTATGTTTTATGCCGCTGATTGTTATTATGCTTCTTATTTGGTGGGATGAAGCTGAAACTGAGCCCCTGAAGCCAGAGTATGGGCTCAGAGTCAGGGTCTGCTCTGGCTTCCCTGAGGGGCAACAACCCGAACCCCTGTGGCTAACATCCACAAAAGGAAGGAATACAGTTAGTGATGACCAAAGTCTCTTACATTGTTATGACCTAATGTAATATTTATTTCTTAATTAGTCTTTCAGAGGTTTACTTTTCTCATCTTTCAAGCCATGGGTCTCTTTTAGCTTATTTCTCTTTTTTTTTGTGTTTTTTTCTCTCTCCTCCTCCCCGCCCACCTCTCTCTTTCTTTCTCTTCTTTCCATCCCTCCCTCCCTTCCTTCCTTCCTTCATTTCTTTTTTTGAAAAGTTTATTTACGTCAATCAACGTAAAGTAGCTTATTTTAAAGAACATAAAGAGGTTCCACATAGGAAGTTTCAGCTTAACTTAGGGTAAGTTATACCTTCAAATCTATTTTCAGAGACTCTACTGCAGCTATAAGTAACTACTTGTATAAACTATGCTTGTTGCATTTTAGAAAATATTCAATATATAACATCAAGCAAATTCAAAAGTCTACTTTTTAAAAATAAAATCTCTGTTTAGCTCACTTTTTTTCTTCAAATGAGTAAAAACTGAGTGGTATGTGCTTTTCTTGAAAAACAAAACAAAATTTGAAGAAATTATTAAAGACAGTGGTGCCAAATTTATTAATGTTGGGCATTCTTATAATTAAGCACATCAAAATAGACATATAAGGAAAAAATATCACATGGTATAATGTTAAAATCATTCTCTACAAATTCCCAGTTGTTTATTTTTAAAGTATAAATTTGTTTCAGAAACTGAAAGACAGTAGATTCACTGTAGATGTACAGTTTTAGCTAGATCTGTTAGATTAAAAAGAAACAAACTGGAATTACAGCTAACATATAGAAGGCACAAACACTGATACTGTATTGATAATTGTTCTATGAATCTATCTAATAAAAATTTAAGAATAAATGTTTCCAACCAGTTAAAAACAATCTTAACCTGACTGAAAACTTGTTTTGGCTTTTTAAAGTGGAAAATCCTAGAAAAAATTTTTTAAAAGAGTTAGACAATTTGAAAACATAATATTATAATAGATACATATCAAACTTCAGAGTTCGTAGGACTTGAAAATCTTAAATATTCTCCTGAGTTAATTGAAACTTTTATTAAAAATTGACTTCTAAAATTAGAATAAAAATCTTCTTAACTAAGCATATGTTCTAAATAGGTCTTTAGGTTCCTAAACTATTGCCTTTCTAAAGAACAGACTGGAAGAAGAAGTGATCAATTTGCCCTTTAAATGCACTGTAATTTAGGCAGCCCTATCAGTGCAACAAGTGTGTTCCTATGCAAGTTGTTATACTTGCGTTACTTCCCAGTCTTTTTCCTTTATTTTCATTTCTATACAACGATACCACTATGCTTAATTATAGGATTTGTATCATGTAAGCTTTCTTATTCTTAAAGTACAACCATTTAACCCTTTTAAAAATTGCATAGACTAGTTCTCCAAACCCTCCCACATATATAGGTTGTCTATTTCTTACCCTCAAAGAATAAAATAAATGCCATAAAGTCATCACTATAACAAAGGATAAGTTCTGTTCTCTTACTTAGTTTAAAATGAATGTGAAGGCACTTAGAACCTGTAGTACAGATATAATGAGGCAGAGTACACATTAATATAAAAATTGTATTATAATAAAGAGGAAGTGAACCTAAAGCACAATGAATATTTATTGATTAATATCGCTACCAAAATCCTCAGGGCTAGCCATTTTTAGAAAGGTTCAGGAATACCACAATTAATATAAGGAGACCCATGAAAAAATTTTGCCTGTTTTCCAGTCTCATGTACATGATTATGGTAATAGCAGTTGCAATGCAGACACATGGGGGGCGTTGGGATGTTAATAAGATGAAAAATATAACACATACCATAAAATTCCGCTGGTAATGAATGTTCTCTTTGTTAAAGTCAATCACATAGCCATTGAAGGACCAAACAAATGTGAGATCCAGTGCAGGATCGAAGGAAGCGGCACACTGCATGGTTGCATTTTCTCCAACAGTGATATCGGCATTAATTGGAGCCAATATAATTCGTGTGGGATCTATACATTTTTAAACAAAGGAGTAAACCATAATTCAGAAACATATGAGACACCATATTATCCAGTACATTAAAAAATAAAAATCAATATAGTTTAAATCTCTGTGCGAAACAATAAGATGTTTACAAATTCAAATTCCAAGAACAGTTTCATCAAACAAGAGATTTGCACAGAAGCCTTTTGAAATGGAAACATCAAAACGTGGATTGTCTTATAAGCTTAGTGCTGAATCATGTCTTATAGTACATTAGAAATTAAGCACTGTCAAACTTAAAAAAAAAAAAAGTAAAGTTAATCAAATGGTTTCTTACCTGTGATAACAAGAGTCCCAGTGCTATTAGCCTTCCCTTTATTATTTTCTACAAAGCATGTATAGACACCTCCATCATTCCTTGTAATGTTATTGATTTCCAAGCTGCCATCTTCCCAAATGACTATTCTATTGAAATGAAAGAAATACATATTTAACAAAATTAATTTAATGAAATATGTTACTATTCTATGTCTTAGATTAAAAACACTAACATCTTAGTATCATTAAAGTTTTACATAAATTGCTTGACAGAGACTTTTTTCAAGATGAAACATTCTAGTCTTTGTTTAGAATATTCTTTGTCAGCATCAAGTTTTTTTGGAAAACCACCTTCATCTTTTTCTTGGACTTATCACAGTAATCTCGAACTGTCCTCCTGCTGCCAACCTTGCCTCTACACAGTTTCTTTTCCCACGTGTCAGCCAGACATGAAGACATACATCGCATAAGTAATACAATGTCACTCTTTGGCTCAGTGATGTCACTCTACGGCTCAGAAGTCTCCAGTGAGTTTTCTATCTCATGCATAATAAAAGCCACAGCCCTTGGTTTGCCCTTTTAGGCCCTGGTCATTTTCACAATCTGTTTCTCACAGCCTTCAGGGTTTTGCACAGTGGTACCTTCAGTAAAGCTTTGTCTGATAAATTCTAGTTAGTATGGCATGCACACACCCACCCATGGCACTGCTGCTGTCCTGCCATTCCCCATGATATCCCTCTCCCCAGATTTTTCTTCCTAACATATATTTCATCAGACATACTTCAGTTTTACTTGTTAATCTATGCTTGCATTAGATGGTAACATCCTGATGTCAGGAATTTGTATCTGCTTTGTTTGTGGCCCCATCTCAAGGTAACATATTCATTAACGTATACAATCATTAGGAAAAAAACAAAAAACAAAAAACTATTTTCCAGGAATTCCTTAAGGAGTGAGACACGGAACAATGAGTAGGCACTCAATCAACCTGTTTTTGAATGTATGAACTACATAGAGTTTAACTGAAGCAGTGGCTCTCTACATGCCACCATAAAATGACTTTTAAACCAATGTGAGACAGACTTAGACCAGTCATAGGCCTGAAAGAGGGTGAGCCCAGATCTTCCAGGAACGTGACCCCAGGACTTCAGACTTGGTAGTTAGAACAGACTGTCATTTCCACAGCCACAGAGGAATACAAACATATTTTGATTTTAGGAAATTTCAAAGAATGATACTGTAAAACCTACCTTAGTAAAAGCTTCTGTAACAGATTACTTTTAGGAAATTCTTCTATGAACAGAAACTAAATCTTTCATACTAATAGAACTTAAATGTATTCCCTCTGCCTGTCTGCCTCTTCCTTGGAGTCAGGAGACTGAAAACTCAATATTTGTAACCTTATTATACCTAACCCTTACATATAATTTATGTTACATTAATATTACATATATTATGATATATTACATATAATTTATATATTTATTATATAACTTTACTATATAATGCCTTGCACTTACATTCAATATTGGATTGCCTGTCATTGGATTTTACTTTATTTTTAAATTTTTGATATTCTTTTCCATTATGGTTTACTACAGGATATTGATTATCCCGTGCTTGACAGTAGGACCTTATTGTGTATCCATCCTATGTATAATACTTTGCATCTGCTGTTCCCAAACTCCCCATCCATCCCCCCACATCTCCTTCCCCCTTGACAACCACAAGTCTGTTCTCTATGTCTGTGAATGTGTTTCTGTTCTGTAAATAAGTTCATTTGTGTCATATTTTCGATTTCACATACAAGTGACATTATATAGTATGTTTCTCTTCTTCACTTACTTCATTTAGTATGGTAATATCTAGGCCCATCCATATTACTGCAAATGGCATTATTTCATTCTTCTGTATGGCTGAGTAATATTCCACTGTATATATATACTACATCTTTATCCATTTATCTGTCAATGGACATTTAAGTTGCTTCCATGTCTTGGCTATTGTAAGTAATGCTGTATGAACATTGGGGTGCATGTATCTTTTCAAATTATAGTTTTGTCTGGATATATGCTCAGGATTGGGATTGCTGCATCATACGGAAACTCTATTTTTAGTTTTTTGAGGAACCTCCACACCCTCAAAAGGGTGTGGCAAAGGGTGTAGGAGGGTTGCCTTTTCTCCACACCCTCTCCAGCATTTACTATTTGTAGAGTTTTTAATGATGGCCACTCTGACCAGTGTAAGTGGTACCTCATTGTAGTTTTGATTTGCATTTCTCTAATAATTAGCAATGCTGAGCATCTTTTCATTTGCCTATTGGCCATCTGTATGTCTTCTTTGGAGAAATGTCTATTTAGATCTGATTTTTACTTTCCTTAAATATATAATTTCCAAAACCTTAATTTATCTTTGAAGCTTTGTACAAACACATGCCAACAATTCTCCATATATTCCATTTTAGGAGCAGAGCTTGATAAAGGACAATTACTACATACATACTTTATTAATAAAAATCTCCATATAAGAAAACACCAAAAATTTCACCAATAATATATTCCATAATTTCCTTGCTCGTCTTTAACTCTCTAGTTCCAACTTAAGCTCATTTCAGAATACTTTTTACTTATTGAAGAACTAATGTAATAGCATAATATAAACATAAACATAAAAGTAATTATTTGATATTGTGGAAGCTATGCCAATGTCCCTCTATGTTCTCCCACTGTGAGGAGTGTAACTGATCCACAGCTCTAGCTGCTGCACTCAGAAATCCATCACTGTGTTTGAGCCAAAACAACACTTTCCACAGGTTGCTCTCAGCCAATGACTGAGTCCAGGAGGAATTTTAAGGCTGCATATTCCAGGTAGACATCAGGGTCCTCTGTTGGGCATTTTTAGCTAGAACACTTTCCAGTGGTCTTACCACACTCTCTTAGTTCTGCACTGCAGTCCATTTCTACCCAGCCTTTCTTCCTTCCTTCCCTTTCCCCTTCATTTGGAAGCAGACCTGAATCTCAGATGGCTGTCCTAGCCTTCACCAAGAGTCTTCTCTGTTTTCCTTCCTAGGCATTGCCATTAATAAATCTCTTGCATGGTTAATCGCACATTGTCATCTGCTTCTCATAGAACTCATATTAACACAATACTAACATTAATGTGTCTCATTTTTTCTCACTAAGCTCTAGTGTAAGTCCTTAGCCAATTTTCCACCCCTGCCCCATTTAATTATTTTGTACGTAAAGCAATGAAAATTATCATCAAGTTGCAATGGAAACAATAGCAACAATTAATCTTTCTAAAACCCACATTATATTCTTAGTTTTCTCACATATATTAGCTCTCAATTGATCATTGTCATCTTTAAAGGGTATACTTCCTTGTGTTGTTCAGCTCACCTACACTTTCAGGTACTTTGTCCATGACATTAAAATTAATTTCAGTAAGAGTATTTAGGGAACTTGATGTTTTTGAATAATGATCCATATTCTAAAGTCAATGTAGTTAAATTATCAGAATCTTATCCTTATTTTCAGATTAGACCATATAGATAAACAGTCAAACAAGCCAGGAACCATCTGGTCTTTAATAAAGTAGTCACTTATTGTTGCCAAAATTATTCCAGTATAACCTCAATCTTATTTGTTAATGTTTAAAGCACACCAACTCTGTGGTAGAAAAGAATCTTGGAGAGACTCTCATATAAATGGCTCAGATAAAGACCATTTTAGAGTTGATAGCAGTCCATTGGATATAAATGAACAACTACAAAGAAATTCTGTTGGAGAATGCATATCATTTTAACCTTAAATAAAATCATACAATTGAGAACTTAATTGCAACTTATCAAGATTTGTGTTTCCTCTCTCCTGATTGCAAGTACTGCATACGCTATTTTACAAACCATTTACCAGGCACAGAGATAACTTAGTAATGTGGAACAGTTTTTAGGTAATTATATTAATCAGAATGAGATTATAGTTATGCTCAAAGACAGTTATTCAGTTACTCCTTGAATATTATTTTCAACAGAAATATTTCTCTAAAAGTAATTATTAGTTTAACTTTTCTTAATACATACTATTTTATAACATTCAAACTTATTTTTACATAAAGTACCAAATCTATAATAAAGAGATACTTAAATAATCTGAGCTACTAATGGGTTAACATAGTGAGCAAAAATTAGATTTATAGACTCTTTCATCAAAAGGTCATACAATTTGATTCAAATACTTTAAAAATATTGACAGGGCTAGAATAATAAGATTTTAGGAGCTAGACTTTTCTTTTTTTGAACACATGTTGGTATTTAGGAAAAACAAATCCATGAAGCATGGTTCCAAGAAATTTGTGGTTGCAGAGGCCCATGGCATGAGTCCTCATCAGAATCAGAACAAGATTCTTTTCATTAAGGAGATAGAGCTAATAGTGCAGCCAACAGGGAATGCTATGCTCGAGGCTGTTGCAGTAGTGAATACCCAAAATTGGAAATACCTTATGATCATGGTCTGCATCACTTATTATCTGACTGCTAAAGCTTCAACCCCGTATTGCACAGATTGACTTTTTCTTTAACACTGATTCTTCTAGTATCATTTTGTTAAAGTGTTAATAAATCTTAGTCAGACATATTACCTGTAGAATTTAATGTATTCAGGGAAGCAGCTGCTGTCCTTGCACACCCCTCCCCAACCACAGTTTTGTCTCATGCACAACCATACTTGTGATTATCCTAATAAGAAAACTGTGTTGCCATGTGTTCATTCCATATCAGCATGGCACAAGTTCAAGTTCTGGCTTGAACTTCAGAAGGTCACTTTAATCTTTCCAGGCTTTAGATACATCAAAACAGAGATAACAACCACCTTACATTCTTTATTGGATTACTGTAAAGATTTATCTTTTATACTTTTGCTATTATATATATATATATATATATATATATATATATATATATTTTTTTTTTTTTTTTTTTTTTTT